GATTTTAAAAAGCTAAAATCTTGAAATCGGCCAAAATCTTGAATTCAGGATTTTGGAAAGCTAAAATCTAGAAATCGAGCAAAATCTTGAATTCAGCATTTTCGAAAGCTACAATCTTGAAATGGGCAAAAATCTTGAATTCGGGATTTTGGAAAGCTAAAATCTTGAAATGAGCGAAAATCTGAAATTTAGGATTTTGGGAAGCTAAAATTTTGAACTCGGCCAAAATCTTGAATTCAGGATTTTCGAAAGCTAAACTCTTGAAATTGGCCAAAATCTTGAATTCAGGATTTTGGGAAGCTAAAATTATGAACTCGCCCAAAATCTTGAATTCATGATTTTGGAAAGATAAAATCTTGAAATCGGCCAAAATCTTGAATTTACGGTTATGGAAAGCTAAAATCTTGAAATCGGCCATAATGTTGAATTCAGGATTTTCGAAAGCTAAACTCTTGAAATTGGCCAAAATCTTGAATTCAGGATTCTGGAAAGCTAAAATCTTGAAATGGGCCAAAATCTGGAATTGAGGATTTTATAAAGCTAAAATCCTGAAATGGGCCAAAATCTTGAATCCTTGATTTTGGATAGATAAAATCTTAAAATCGGCCAAAATCTTGAATTCAGGATTTTGGAAAGCTAAAATCTTTGACTCGGCCAAAATCTCGAATTCAGGATTTTTGTAAGCTAAAAACTTGAAATCGGCCAAAATCTTGAATTCAGGATTTTGGAAAACTAAAATCTTGAACTCCCCAAAAGTCTTCAATTGAGGATTTTGGAAAGCCAAAATCTTCAAAGCGGCCAAAATCTTGAATTCAGCATTTTGGAAAGCTAAAATCTTGAAATCGGCCAAAATCTTAAAATTGACCAAAATGTTTAATTCAGGTTATTGGAAAGCTAAAATCTTGAACTCGCCCAAAATTTTAAAGTCAGGTTTTTGAAAAGCTGAGATCTTGAGATCGGCCAAAATCTTGAATTCAGGATCGTGGAAAACTAAAATCTTGAACTCCCCAAAAATCTTCAATTGAGGATTTTGGAAAGCCAAAATCTTCAAATCGGCCAAAATCTTGAATTCAGCATTTTGGAAAGCTAAAATCTTGAAATGGGCAAAAATCTTGAATTCAGGATTTTGGAAAACTAAAATGTTGAACTCCCCAAAAATCTTCAATTGAGGATTTTGGAAAGCCAAAATCTTCAAATCGGCCAAAATCCTGAATTCACCATTTTGGAAAGCTAAAATCTTGAAATGGTCCAAAATATTGAATTTACCATTTTTGAAAGCTTAAATCTTTAAATGACCAAAAATCTGAAATTCAGCATTTTGGAAAGCTAAAATCTTGAATTCAGGATTTTGGAAAACTAAAATCTTGACATGGTCCAAAATCTTGAATTTACCATTTTTGAAAGCTTAAATCTTTAAATGACCGAAAATCTGAAATTCAGGATTTTGGGAAGCTAAAACCTTGAAATTGGCCAAAATCTTGAATTCTGGATTTTGGAAAGCTAAAATCTTGAACTCGGCCAAAATGTTGAATTTAAGATTTTGGAAAGCTAAAAACTTGAAAGCAGCCAAAATCTTGAATTCAGAATTTTTGAAAGCTAAAATCTTGAATTCGGTTAAAATCTTGAATTTAGGATATTGGAAAGCTAAAATCTTTAAATCGGCCAAAATCTTGAATTCACGATTTTAAAAAGCTAAAATCTTGAAATCGGCCAAAATCTTGAATT